AAAACATTTTCAAAATAAAGAAATTCATGAAATGTTATTAGAGACTTCTTGTTTTTTTTTTTTTTTCTAAACAACAAGGATAATATTAAAAAGCAATAGCATATCAACATATTCAATATTTATTTAAGTCTATCCCAATTAAAAAAAACATTTATTTAGATTTGCACTATGTTTTTTCAAGTCTATACCCAATTATGGAATTGTCTGACATGTTTAGTTAAAAAAGAATAATAATTTGAGATTTGATTCATAATTTATGTATGTATATAAAAAAATAGAGAGATATTGTTGATAAAATAGGTTTATTGATAAATTCATTTTTCTAAGAGATAAACATCTTTCCACAACATTGTTTAGTAAGTGGTATTTTTTTTAAAAAATTCAAATAGAAAAAAAAAAAGACTGTACTAGTAACATTTTGGCATACTAGTTGGTATGTCAAAATTTAACTGAAATGAATTCAATCTTATGCTATTTCAAATTAAGTATAAAATTGGTATGTACCAATTGGTATGATATGATATTGACAACCTTGATTTACATAGTTCGTCAAATTCATGTAAATTGATTTTCTAGAGAAAAGACGTAGAGAAGAATATGAATTTTAATATATTTTTTTATTTAAGGATGTAAATTTTGTTAATATTTAAATAAAATAGTAAACTTTTAATTTTTTTATTTAAAAATATTAATTTTGTATTTTTTCTATTTAAAAATTAATTGGATGATGATGTTGATATGGCAAAGTTGAAAATTTACTACCTTATTTAAAAATTGACAAAGTTCACATTTTTAAATAGAAAAAATGATAAAATTAATATCCTTTTCTATTCATTTTCTCTAATTTTCTAAGTTAAGACACAATTTAAGGGCATAATAAGTGTATTTTTTGTATTAATTATTATAATAATAAAAACAAAACTAATATTAATTGTGTTTTTTTAATTTGTAACCTAAGAATATATATTAAGAGTGTTTTATTGTACATTTTTAGTGTTACTCTAATTGTTATTAGAAAAATAAAAATTGATTTTAATTTTATCAATCATCAAATTAAAATCATCTATGTGGTGTTGGTGTTGAAATAAATGTCCTTCAAATTCATTTCAACTTTTGTTTTATCCTCTGTAATAAATTAATTGAGAAAAATTATAGTAAATGCACTCTTTACCTATATCGTTGTTGATGTGATAAAATAAATGGAGTTATCATCTATTCAAATGAGGTAGGATATATCACCAAAATCTGTGTAGAGATTGATTGAAATTAGAGAGTCGATTAAGCTTGGAGAAGGTGTTAAGCACCCCACAATTTCCATATAAAATATGGTTGCTTTATACCTTAATTTTGGGGTATTTATAATAAACACAACAATAACATATTCAATTAACTAAAAAAAAAAAATGCATGACTTGATAAATCTTGATTATTCCAATTTTTCTTTAAATATATCCTAGAGTCTTCTTCTCAGTTAGTAACCTTTCTATAACAAATCTCACATTTTAAAATTAAGGTTTCCAACATGTACTTTAATTTAGTACTAAAGACTAAGATACAAAATTATATTCTTACTGTTAAAAAAAATGTTGAGATTTTCATTTAAATAAACAAATTCATTATATTGATTGTATTTAATTTCATTTAATTTCATTATCAGTCTTCCTGGACTTTCAAAATAAACAAATTCATAATAAACTTGGTAAACAGTAAGTATTGCATCATAGTGACTTTAACTCCGACAAACAACTAACATTTATTCAAATTGTTATAATGTTTCTGGGTTCAATTTTCCTATCAGCAAACACAATATCCTCATGATGTTTGATAACTGTTTCAAACTTAAAATTAAGTCCAAAGCAATTACAAAATCTTATATCCCAAACACATAATTAAATTATACAAGTTAATTCCATAGAAGAATAATATATCAAATACAAGATTCTTTGTAGTAAGTTTTTACCACATTCAATTTATAGAACAAATAAAAGAAAAGGAAAAAATAGAAAAAACTTGACTCACGCAAGACTACCCATACCATTGCTCACACAGATGTAAAATAAAAATTAACAATTGAAAAGTTTGCACATTTGTAAGGAAACTAACAAGTCAAAATTTTATTGTTTTGAAAAATTCCAAATACAAGCTTCTGCTTTTCTTTCCTTGTTGCCTCACACCTTCTCCACTGACTCTCAATTTTTGCCCCTCAATTCTTCTCAAATTTCTTCTCCCCTCCTCAAGTAATCAAGTCCCCTATTTATATAGATGAAAATAGAACCTTAACCCTTTCACACTTCTAAGCCCTAATCTAAATTTTAGATAATAAGCCAATCCTATTTGGGATTGGAATTCTAAAATTGGCTTAGTTCTTCATGCATCTTCCCTCTTTCAAGGCTAAATTTATACCTCTTAAAGATTAGGACTCCCAAGTTTGAATCGATTTTGAAATCTTCTTTCGCAATTCTTGATGATGACTTCCAATACGAAAATTTCTTCATACTAAAGCCGTGATCTATCCAAACTCAAGTGGATATAGGGATAAATCGTGAAGATTTTGTAAATTTTTAGAGAGTGGTCGACAATAGAGTAAAGAAAAGCAAAGGGGATCGTGAGTTGCAAAACAAAAGAAACGTGGATAGCTAGGGTTCATTTAGACCTTGGCCTTTTGATGTAGCAAAACTACTAAACAAAGTCATTTTAGTGATTCCTCCTTTCTATCCTTCATTTTTCACACCTTTTGTAGAATGGTCCATTAGCTTCCAATTGTATTTTTCCCCTAATTAAAATTGGGTTATGATAGTTACCTTTTCTTTACTTTTCTTTTTGTGAAAAGAAAAGTGAAGAATCAAAGAATAACCTAATTTTAGGAAAGAAATCATTTTGATAATATCTTATTTGAAGGGTTTAAGCTAAATGCAATGTGCAAAAATTTATGCAATCAACAAACCATTTATAGATGAAAGCTTCACCTTTCCTTGAGATGTGCTCTTCATCTTTAGTTCTCTAGAGATGTGGTTTTCATTTAAGATGTGACTTTCTAAGATGTGGTTTTCCTTTTCTTCTTCAAGATGCAGGTCTTCAATCTTTTTCTTTTTGAGATGCAATCTTCATCTAAGATGTGGTTTTCTAAGATGTAAACTTCATCTTTTCTTTTTCAACTCTTCTTCTTCCTAAGATGTAGTCTTTATCTAGGATATAGTTTTTTAAGATGTAGATTTCATCTTTTTGTTTTCAAGATGTGATTTTCTTCTCTACTTTTTCCTAAGATTTAGTCTTCATCTAGAATGTGATTTTGTAAAATGCAGTCTTCATCTTATCTTTTGCAAGATGTTGTTTTCATTTCTACTTCTTCTTGAGATGCAATCTTCATCTAGTACTTTTTTTTAGGATATAGTCTTCATCTTGTCTTCTCATTTATCATCTAAAAAATTTTAACTAGCAATGATCCTTCTACTAGCTTAAGCATTTTTCTAACACTAGCTAGCTTCAAAGCCACTTGTGACTATCACATGTCTTTAATATGTCAAAGGTAATATTTGAATGAAACAATCATATTAAATGAAGCATCAAGCTTTTGACTAACTAATGTTTCCAATGGAAGTATGAAATGAAGAATTAATATGGGAAGGACTTTTTGGAATTTATTAAGAGCAAATAAAACAATGAATTAGGTATAAAGAAAACTCTGATACATATAACAATTAAAAGATAGGAAAAGCTTGCTCAACAACTCTTTCACAATAGTGATATCATCTCTTTCTCAACATTTTGAGAAGGTGTACTTTTTCATGGTATGGTAAATGATTGAGTCTTAGTTCCCCTTTCATTAGCAACCACCTTACTAGAAACTTTGTCTCTTGACTATCTCCTTTCCTTTGATCTTTTTGTTGTTAATTGCCTAATCGCCTTTTTAGGTTTTCAACTTAGACCAATCCCTCACCTTTCTCTCTCT